AGGCGAACAGTGGTTTGCCAAGGTTCAAGCAGCGGCTCTCGCTGCTGATAAACCGTACACCAGAATTGGGGGGAAGGTCGTCGGTGTTACAAAGCAATCGCGAATCGTCGAGTTTCCAGGCGCAGTCAGTGCCAATCACGGAGACCCCGAACCCATTTGTGCTGTTGTTGTTTCTGTCATTGATTGGAGGAATCCAGGCAGTTCCTTTTTGCATACCTCGCGGATTAAGAGCCTGAGCCTGGAGGCTAGCCTTTTTCGCAGTAAATTTTTGCATCAAAACGAAGCACAAGACTTCCTTGAAAACGACGAATTCGCTCCATTCAAGTTCCGCTTATCATGGAAAAAGAATCAACAGTATGTCTCTAGCCGGCTGTTCGATTATCATCAAGGAGATGCAGTTACCAGCGCTCTACGAAAGTTAACCTGGGATGAAGATTCTACTGGCGATTCCCTTTTTCTTCGGTTATTCGCAACAAAGAGTAGCTATTTTGATGAGCTCGAGTACGCACTTGATATCTACCGAGGTCATCTGCATTAATTTTACATCTTATACGCGGCCGCATACTGCAATACTCTACAAGTGCACTGCCAGTGTTCACATAAACGTTCCACATAACTTCGCGCATTGAACTATTTGACACCAACGAGAACCACAGGAGAATCGGCCCCCAGTGACTACTTGCATGTGAGAAGAACGCATGATCTGTCGAAGATACATTAGTGGTCCTGTCTTTGCGAGCATAGAGGAATGTGGACGACAAGCGCTGTAAGCAGAGGGCCAACTCCGAGAAGTATATCATTCGACATTAAGTACGTGGTGCTTTTGTACGATCCAACCATGTGCTACGAATCTTTGCTCCTAAAAAGTGTGCGCAGCCTGAGTACTGTCATATGTACTGAATATTCATGTGGACAAAACGCGCAATAACTCAACAATAAATCTAAGAACACGAGGCCTCCGATGGTCCAGTGCAAAAAGAAACCAAGACCGACTTATCAACGCACTGAAATATCCAAGGGCGGTCCACCTACAGGCTACCAGTCTGACAGTTCTAGCATGGCGAGACTCGAGTGTCGATTCCGAATCATCTAGGAAAATGGCCTGGACTAAGTGTATGAACACGTAGACTTGATGCAGAACCCGACAAAGGTTCACATAATAAATAGCTCATTGAAGTCTGAGGAACGTGTCCGAATCAGTATCAGCCAAAGCACACATCTCACCAAATAGTGAGAGATAGGCCCTAGAATCCAGACCACCATATCCTCCACATTTAAGTAAAAATGCGTCTCATGGGAAGAACACATGATTTATCGAAGATGAAGCAACCAGCGGCTTCAAATTCGATGATCGGTAGAATGAAGCAGCGGATGTGAACAACAGTCTTGAGTTTCGCATGCAGTTTAACGACTAGTGACAAGCGCAGCTCAACGAGTGGTTCAACAGCCCTCTCCACTATTCGAAACATGAAAGTAGATGAAACGTATCGCCGAGTGCAGTCTACCAGCCGGACATTGCCGAAGTACTGTATATTACCAATCAGCCACAACCCTCCGTTGCGACTGGTGTATTGAGCGGCCCAAACGACCTCAAGACCTCTCTTCAAGGTACGTCTCATCGTTATCTAACCAGCTAATACTAACACAGGCTTTGCACAGGCTCAATCAATGTGAGTCCACGAGGAAGGAGACAACAGAGCCTTGACAGAATTCACTAACGAACGCATCGGCAGCTCCCCAAATGGCTCAACGCGTCACACTCCGAAAACGCCAACCCTACAACACCACCTCAAGCCGCAGACGCATCGTAAAGACCCCAGGTGGAAAACTCGTGTACCACCATATCAAGAAACTTGCTACTCAGCCGAAATGCGGTGATTGCGGTATTGGTCTTCCTGGTGTACGTCTCTTTTGGCTAGGCTGTTGGATGGATTTTGATCTTGACTTTGATTTTTGTGCGTGTGGTTGTAGGTCCCTGCTCTCCGTCCCCGCCAATACGCAACGATTTCAAAGCGCCAAAAGACTGTGTGCAGGGCTTATGGTGGTTCGCGATGCGGAGACTGTGTCAAGTCGCGGTGCGTCTCTTGATTACCTCGTGTCTATCTAATATAAACTGTGCGCAAACAGCATTCTACGAGCATTCCTTGTAGAGGAGGCAAAGATAGTCAAGAAGGTCATCAAAAGCCAACAGAAGGCAGGAGGCCGCAAGTAAATAGCAATACTTCGGTCTTTTGGAGTGGTCGTTTTATGGCTATGGATCCTCATGCATTTTTCCATTTTGTTTATCGCATCCATGTACAACCTCCACCAAAATCCAGACCGAGGAGGTCAGTATGCAGTTCCTTGAATGCGCTGTGTCGTGCAAGAAGAGACATAGTCAAATTCCCCTCGAGTGGTATTACATAGGAAAGTGCATCGATACCGCATCATACAATACTGTAAGATATCGAAAAATGACCCACAAATAGATGCATAAATGCATCAAGCACTCTTCATATCCCTATCCTCGGTCCTCGGCAAAATGTAGCGGTCGGGGTACGCTAGGTCCTTCATAGTCTGAAAAGGGGTCATCGTCCTTTTTGTCATCCTTCTCATACGCATGTCCCAAATACTCTCCACCCGCGTAAGAGTAATCAGGTGGTTTGGCGTCGGAAGGTGGTGGTCCAAGCGGCGGAGCGTAGGCTGGTTGGTATTCGGGATCATAAGGTCGGTTGTAGTGTGGCGGGAAAAGGTCCATTCGCGCCTGGTTCGAGGGTGCCCTCAAGGCATTCGCAGGGCTCGTAGGGTCAACCACTTGACGGTAATAGCCAAATGCAGCGGATGTGAACAATAGACAGAGAACTTTAAATTCGTCAGCTTCACTGCAGATTCAACAGGTGTCTATACACACTGATCTCGAATATAGTAGCCAAGATCTCGGTCCACGAATCATGGTTCCACTCATCATTGCAATCTGCAGCAAGGTAAGATTCGAATGGAAGAATCGCGCCTCAAAACTTACAAGACGTAGCCAAGGCCTGGTCCATCGTGTTTGGGTTGGAGCCCCATATTCCGAATGCCTACTCACGAATAAGCCAAGTATCACAACAAGCTGTACGAAGATACCAACAGTATCCACTTCTCCATTCATTGACACACTAATGCATTCATCTAGGAGTTCACCCTACCCATCGTCAGCCAAAACGTTCAAAATGAGTAGTTAAGTAAGCTCACCTTGTAGGTGAAATGAGTGATGGAACGCATAAAGCCGACGCCAACGACAAGAAGGCCCGCGATAGCGGTCGAAAACGCATACATCCTAACCATCCAGGCACGTTGCTGCGAGGCCTGTATTAGGGCTGGGACGACGTCATTGCATTGCACAGCAACTCCGACTCACGGTCAACAAGCTGTAAATGCCGAATGTTTCTATCGCGAGTGCGACGGAATAGATAACGCCTTGGACTATAGCCAGTGGTGCTAGCTTAGGATAGGCACCTATGGCACAAGGTTAGTGAACTCGAGTATGTATCTACCGAAACGAAGAGATGACCGACCGTTTTGATCAACTTGTAGCTCTTTGAAAGATGCAATCTGCGGGCAAGCTTAGGGTATGAATCAACAGGGAGCCAGTCACCTACAGTCCTAGAAAATGGGTTATTCGCTGAATATTTGACGACAAACTGACAAGACTTACCATGCTAAAGCCCATATGGCCCCCATTACCGCGACTTCATAACACCGACTATGAACATGGTAGAAACGATGAGAGTGCACGACGACATACATGCAAGAACAATGGGACGCAAACTTCTGCCATAGATACGGTTCACAAATGTATAAGGCGGAGGCGCTCCTGCAAGGCTGTGTCATTAGTCTTCTGCACACACCTTGATTAGTTGCTGTCACAAAACGCACCTGGCGGAGGAACCCGTCTCGCGTTCATAATAATGTGATTGTATTTACTTAGAGAAATGGGTATGGTAGCAGATTTAGTAGAGGTACTGGAGGTGTGACGCTGCATGTAATTGTCCTGCCAGCCGCAGTCACCCATGGTTTCAAGCTCAGCTTGAACGTGTTGGCGCCTGAAACTTGCCTGAAACTGCCCTTGTTTCGCTGTGTGTGAGCTCCCACGACTATGATCGATTGATCTCTCCGAACCTGTGTCCTATACTGCCAGGTCCTGTAGATGATTTGTCACTTCGAGCTGGGCCTTTCGGGAGGGACTCGAACAGGTGAACCCAAGACATCACATTGTGCAAGAGCGTACGAGGCAGGAATTCGATCAGAAGCTTGATGGATAGGGAAGGGGCTTGATGGGATGTGACAGGGTGATGGAGAAGCTCCGTGTGGCTGAAGAAATTGACTACCGACCAACGAGTTTGTATCCATGTTACCTTTGCTAATCGAACTAATTATAGCGTCGTCCACAGCCTGCAGAAGGTAATTCGTTCTTGGCCTATACATTCTTTTGTGCATCATGTATCGACCAAGGGACAATTTACCTTGAGTCATCTATCGTCGTTGGTCTTAGCTCGAGATGCCTTTTGGGTATACTAGCAACATTTATATGCCTTGCCTGCTTGATGACATGTCGGTCGCGCGAAAAAAAGGCTTTCATGGCTTTAGGGCACAGCAAAGTGTCCGCGCGACATCACCAGTACACCTTCCACAAGATACACATCAATCCCCTTCTTGCGCCAGTTTCGCCAGATGCCATCTCAAGAGTTCTTTCTCAGCCTCACTGGCTGTGGCAGCCACATCAGCCTCATCCCTGACGAGGCGCAACGCGACAGCAAGCTGGCCTACAGAAGGTATTTTAAGTTCGCTGTCAGAACGCCTCAATACTACTTGCTTGTCCTCTAATGTTTTCTTGTAACCACTCATTCCTCACCCTCTTTATCGCCTAGACAATCGATAGCGTCACCGGCTTTTCGGTATGGGTGAACGTCGCTATTGCTTGGACATTCCTGTTAGCATTCCCAGTTGTGATGCAAGAGCTGTGCTTCCGCTGACCTCGAGAGGTTTGAACATGGTAATCTATGATATTTTTCTCTGAGAGCTCATGACAGCTTTGCTTTGAAAGTCTCATCATTGTTCACGACGCCTGGGATACCATCTAGCGCGACTTCTACGCAACAAACGCAACTTTGTCTTTACCTCAACGCCTTTGTCGCGTCAGTGGCGTCACCACTTATAAACGTTTCTTTGCTTCGATGCAAAAATCATTAAATCATTCTCATTCTCTACTTCTCGAGCTTCAATGGCATCGATTTCTATCACACCAGCATCCCCCTCAGCAGACCTTGCGACACCGGATCCTGCACGACATTTCACCAACATATACGCTGCTGCCAGTATAGATGCTGTCGTTGATCGATTCGGTTTATGCATGAGATATCTCCTCAATTTTAATGTTCCCTTCGAACGGGCGATACAAAGGCTCTGTCGTATAGAGCTTGGGTTCGATGACGTGGTGGTGGGGTTCAATGACATGGAGGAGGCGTTTAATTGGTTGGAGGACTCGCTCGAAGGCATGACGGAGATGCTCAAGGATGTGTTCCGTGCCACAGGTGAAATACTTGATGGCATGGATAAGACGTTCGATGGCATGGCAGAGGAGATCTGTGCATTGGAGGAGAAGGTCAAACTGATAGAGGAGGAGATCTTTGAACTGATACACGGGTGAGTATCGGTTTATTCTATCGCTTCACAACACTTTCCTAATTGAATTTGCAGTAACGGATTATGGCCCATTCGAATTTGCAATCATCGATGCTCATTGGATGATCCATTGGTCTGGCCTCCTGTTTCTGATACTTCCTATCCAGCTGGGAAGCCCGAGACTCTTGCGGGACTTCAAACAATGAACGGTAAGTGCGCTTTAGAGTGCCAGTTACTCTCTTACTAACAAATGTCAGCTGAGATGTGTGCGGCTCTTGCTGCTGCCTTACACCTTCGACCTCCTCCTGATCTACTTCAGCCCCCACTCGAGTGGAGGAGAAAGCAAGTAATCAATTATATTGGATGCGCGGAATGAGTCATTCTACTGTGTTGTATCATTGATGCCATTACCTTTGTGTTCGTTATAGCACAAATGTTCCTCGGTCTTGCATATATAATTTATTTAGAACGTCTGCAAAGACGGGGATCCGTTTGCTATGGTGTGGAATAATCGATATGATAATAACACAGCACACGAGGCGCTGCACTGCACTCACGTCCCAAACACAGCATGCGCGCATGTCAATTGGAGGCGCGTGATTCTGTTTTGAGCATAGCCATCGACCGAACGCAATTCAGTGCACACCGACACCACCCGATGAATCCCACGTGTATGGATAAGCCCACGGAAGAGATTCAGTAGGCATGAACACTAACAAGGTTGGGTGGCTCACCAGCGACTGAATCAAATCTCAATCCACTTTAGTAGGCATGTCTATGCTTGGCGCGACGGAGTACAGGATGCCTTGGAGGATAGCCAATGGTGTGAATCGGGTCCAGCCTGCACAAATGAAGATGTGCCAATTGAATTGACCGCCATCAGCTCCCTCAAGAACAAATCAATTTCATAGCACCAGGTTGATGACAAACGGAAGGAAACCGCTGAAATGGAAATACCGAGACTCGAACTATTAAAACGGAACGTGGAGTGTTAGGATTCAGATGTTGTACTAACGTAAGCCTAGGACAAACGTCGAAGCTTACCGTGCCAACTTGGTCCGTATCGCGGCCTCCATCACTATAAAGATAACAAATCAGCACCAGAATATTAGCCTGCAAAAATATGGGTATGAACGGGTGATTACTAGGGCTTCTAGAGCGTGATGGCAAAGTTCTCCTGCTGTACTTATAATATGATACGTTTGGGTGTACAAGAGTGCCTGGTGCGAACCAAGCTGAGTTTGAATCCATCTTGGACCGCTCACGCCCATAACGCCGCTGTACGACTTTGAAGGGATGAGTCAGGCCCAGGGCCCATGTAGGCCATTATCAAGCCTAGAACCTCATTTTTTGAGTTCTTTAATTGCCAATCAGTACTATGGTCTCGGCAGCAGGTACCCAGATGGTTGGCCCAAGTCGGCATTATGGGTACGCTGACGCCTCGCTTTCGGTCAGTGAGCCACTAACAACTTTCATAGATATCCTAGTACATCGTAGTCCTATTCTGCACCAAGGCGGTATAGTGCTCTCCCGATTTATATTCCGAATTCTGCATCAAGGGGACGTGGTTCTCTTCCTATATTTTCAATGGTTCCATTGGTGCCGCGCGTGGCAGGACGTACATGCCATTCATTACTCGGCATTAGCGAGGACATGTATGTCACCTGTCACGGTGTGTATTGCCTGGTATAACTCATAAGTTACCTCTCAACTTAAAGTGATATTGATAGATTTAGATCCCTTCGATCATGTTAACGTTATAACTACAGTCATTGCACAAGGAAAATGCACTCGGAGCGCAACTTCAACTGTCCCCCACAAGTTCCAAATTATGTAGTGGCCAGTGCCCTGCGTGCTACCACTTCCCCGCAGATAGCAACCTCTCGCGCTACTGAGAGCAACGGCTCGACATCAACATAAACGTTGTTCCGCCGCGCATTCGGCCAAAAACGCGGCCGAAAGTCTACCACTTGTATATTGCAAGACCCTGCAGCTGCAAGCGCCGTCACAAGGCTCTCCACCTCTGGTGTGTCTGGATTCCCTACCACATTCAATTTCTGCAACATCGGAAGGCGAAGTTCACGGAATAGTTCGATAAAAGGATCACGAAGATGATAATAATAGAATAAGGAAATAGTCATCGATTCAAGGCGAGAGTATGTGGTCGGGTGGCTCCCGGAGTCCAAATTTGGTGCAATGTAACCTATCACGAGGGTCTCCGCGTGAGGAAAAAACGATAAACAGGAGTGTATGACAGCGACTGGAGCGCTCTGGATGTAGAGATGACGTATATTTTTGCGGGTAGCAGTGGGTCTAGATCGAATGACAGCCGACAATGAACCGAAACGTATGCGACAGAGGTTTGGCGCATTGAATCTGGTGACATCCGATGGCCAACTACACTGCAGGGTTCTCAACTGGGGTGCGTTGAAGTTCTCGCTCCGTTCAAATACGTCGCACATGCAGAACACTGTTTCCCAACGCGTCGTTTCAGCAAAAAGTATTTCGAGCAGTTGAGTATTTGAGGGACAAAGGTGACCATGGTCTGAGGGCAAATTACATTCTGTGCGAATGGTAAGAGGCTGACTGCCAGACCAAGCGAGCCAAGACCGAAGCAGTGATGGAAGGAATGGTTTTAATGGGAAACTCCCAGTGGGAAGTCCAACTTTGATGTGCGACCAGATTCCTGTCGTCGAATGTGCGATGGCCCGCCAAAGGCGGCACACCCTGGTGAAGAGTAGTGGCGGGCAGGCAAAATTTCCCGAGATGGTGGTTTCTCCAAATGAGAAAATACTAGGATAGTCTGGCACGTCCTTGATGATGAGCAAGAATACATCCTGTAGAAGTTCCACGGGAAGCCGATGAATGGGGGATTCTGAGTAGCTCATGTTGACGGCTTAAGCTTGTGATGAGTCACTAGACAACATGATGCATCGAGCGTGTGCACGAATACTTGCATGACGATCAGAATAGGAGGTTGACTCACTCACTGTCAGGCTTACGTATTCAAGAATTCTGAACCTTAGTGACTACAAAGTGTGGGAATCGTCGCTGGCGCTGATACTCTCGCTGAGCCAAGGCGGATATTTCTTTGAACTCTTAGCTGCCGACGCTTTTACCGAGTTGTACTGCTGAAGGAAAACACCTTGGACCCCAAAGTTAATGCAGGTGGGAGATTTTTGACATAGAGCTGTACTATCTTAAGCTTCAAGTTATTTTCAGTGCCCACCGCACCGCTTCTTGCCAAGTACTCACGTTAACGCTGCCTTCCCGATGGCTACATACCTGTGCAGATAGTAAGTTGGTAGGCAACCCGTCACAGCACTTGAATTCAGAATAAACCGTTTGAAGTGGGTGCCTGCATTCGCGTGATTTTCGCTCTCTCGGAGCAGCGTTTGCGGCATAGGTGATTTAATTACACACCACTATCACATCTTTCGTGTATTCACTCAGGGCTACTCTTGGCTAGGGCTGGCATGACGTTGGAATGCACAAAATGTCAGGCCCGAGGATTCGGTGTCATGCATCAATCAAACTCAAAATCATGATATTTGGCCACTAACTACCCTGCCATATTCATTACGGTATTAAGTTCGCGTTATTGCCTAACTGTATCTAACTGATTATGCTATATAGTGATCCATTCTCGCCGGTTAGTGCTATCTAAGACGCAATTTCCCCCTACCTCGAGTCTGCCACTTTTTTTTTTCAAGATATTACTTGACCACACCTGCATCTCCTCTTACCATCTTCCTCTTATCTTCCTCATTTCTTGAGTATGCACCTCCTTCGCTTCTTTACGTGCATCGCTTCTTGTCTCTCTATTGCTCGTGCTTTCAGTGTGACAGTCGGGACTCCTACTGTATGTGAACCTCTCAGCATTTCATGGACTGGTAAGCGCATATCTAGTACATCTTATACGCTCCTGCTCACTCAACTTTGTCTGGTTTGTCAGGTGGGCAAGCACCATTTGAAATACTCTTAGCTCCCGTTCGTCGGCGCTATCGTCTTAATCGCATCATTCGCGTGCTAACCTTTGTGCTTTCTAGTCTAACCAAATATATCAGAATATACCTGTTCCTGCATCGGCCTTCAGCAATGGAAAAGGCTCTTATTCAATATCGCAATTGTCGTTGTTGTCGGGAACGTCGTTTGTACTCATTATGTCTGACGCCACTGGATTTGGTTCGGGTGGGACGACAAACGAATTAACTGTTGGGAATTCGACCGCAAATAACAATTGCGGCGCTGCAAATCCGAATCCTCCATACACGTTCGACTTGTCTCCGCTGACGCAATGCAGGTAAGTTTGTTGCCTACTTTTTTGTGGCACTAACCTACCACTACTGCAGTCCATTTACCATTACGGCCAGTGGTGCAGTCCCGCCCATTACTGTTGGGGTCAGATCATTGCAAATTCTTTTAAAACGATCTACTTATCTTGCTACAGCAACTTATTCCTGGCGGACTATCAGTACTATTCAATTCCGGTAGCAACACTTTTAGCTCGATTTTAGATGTCAGCGCAGGGACGAACGTCCTGTATTTTGTCAACGACTCCTTGGGCAACCAAGGTGGGGTCTCTCCGTACGAGCCGATCTCGGGGTCGAGCGATTCCGCGTGCCTGAATTTGCTGTCATCCACTGCAGGCATATCGGCCACAGCCACAGCATCGTTGTCATCTAGTTCGAGCAGTCCATCAAGCAGTCCATCAAGTAATGCATCAAATTCATCAAGCAACAATGTTGCTCTCATCGCAGGCGCAGCGGGCGGCGGCACGGCTGTCCTTATTGCGTTGGGCATCCTTGGCATATGCTTGCGGCGTAAACGAAAGGCATCTCGTTTGCTGGAAGTTCAGTCTTCCAAACAAAGCTATCCACGTCATTTGCAACGTACAGACCCAAATTACGAAGCAGGTCCTCATAGTGACGTCCCACCACATTTCTCCTTCCCATACAAGACAGACCCCCTCAGCTACCATACCCGCTCCATTCATCCCAGCCTAGGAACCCAGTCAGAGATGACCAATTCGTCTGCCGGCACCTTCGCAGTTGGCGCCCCTCTCTCATCATTCAACCAGACACAACATTCGCGCCAGAACTCCAACGCAGACTTTCCCGTCTATGGAGATATTCGAAGTTCGACTGTGTCATCATCTAATAGCCGCCAATTACTCCTGTCTAGCGGAAACTCCACAGCCAACGATCCTCGCACACTTTTCAATCAGACACTGCATTCACGCCAGAGCTCAAACGCAGACATGTATGCAGACGCTCGGAGCTCGGCTATGTCATCTGTTGACAGGCGAATGGCTACCGTCGCTGAAATGCAATCACCATGGGAGACCGTTCCCGTTAGTTACCTTGTTCCATCCACTCAACCCGGATCCCAGCCAGGTCCTATTAATGCGTCTGCCACCAACATGGTGACTAGGGATCATCACGCACCCTTCAATCAGACGCAGCCTTCACACATGAGCCCTAACACAGACTTTCCTGTCTATGGAGACGCTCAAATGTCAGATACGACACCTGCCGAGCATATGGCTGTGGGGGCTCGACCAGCATCACCATTACCACGGAAGGTAGACCTTGTCTACCTTTCTCCACCCGTTCAAACCGGATCTCAATCAATTTCAACCTCTACCGGCAATGTCGGAGTCAAGAACCCTCCCACGCTATTCAATCAATCACAAAACTCCCATCAGAACCCTGACACAGACAAATTTGCTGTACACGGAGCATCTGGGCCTCAGTCTATGGCGCCAGCTAGCGCGCAAACAGCTTACCAACCCCCTACTCGAATCATCGTGCATACCGACGCTGATGATGATGTGCCAAGCAATAATGGCGTAGTTGAACTTCCGCCGCAGTATTCAGAACATCGGGGAATCCGTGCCTCGTAATCTGAGTCTGTGTTATGATTACGTCCCCACACGCTTGAGTATGGGGAAACCTCTTGAAAATCGATTCAATCACTCAGAATTGCCGATAATTCGAGGTTCCGCTTTTATTTAAGAGGTCCGGTCCATGTTCCATTGCATTCACAGCAGTTTATTTTGAACACCGTTACGAATTTACTCATTTTTAGTCAAAGCCAGATGCGGAGACGTCCGAAGTATCTGAACGATGTTTATTCTAGTATTATACCGTACACCATCATTCGTATCACACTCCATGCATGCATTACCCAATACCCGTGACAGAAGTCAGATGGAAGCGTGGTCTGGCCCAGGAGACCTCTATCACGTATGGAATTAGGGCAGACAGACTTTACGGCCCGCTGATCACCACCGAAGAGACTCTAGTTCAGTTTTCACAGGCATTGCAAGTCCATTCGACAAACGTTCTCGTTTATCCACCACGGTATCTTCTCGAGGTGCCTGACTTCACAGAGAATAACATTAGACCGAGCCTAAGTCCCGGATGCACACCTCACTCACGCGCCTTGGATAGCCTCTCAGTCCATTTTTACTGGAAGCGTGTAGGAGAAAAAGGAGGATCGCGTCGGACCATGACATCACTGCACGAGCCAAAGACATATCTTCCGTTGACACATGGACGTCGGTACCGTACAAATACTATAGGTTCGTGACATCTCCGTTGCACGACTCACCTGGTGCACGTTGTACGAAATAGGCCGGTTTATTCGAATTCTCACTCGCGAGCGCCTAAGTCGTGTTTGACAGCCTTTCGGTCCATTTTTGTTATCGCACGAGCGCTACGCGGTGAATTGAAGAGCATGATCATGATATCATTGCACAGTTTTTATTAGCTATAGTAGCTACTTACAGATATAATGGAGATCAGGACACTAGAGATACCGTAGTTATATGCATGTGGATCCTTTTCAAAAATCTCACACCTGAGCGTCTACCATCGCGCCACCTTCCAAGATATTGATGGCCCGTGTTTCAAATCCACCCGCAATTACTACAGTTGATGTCGATGAGATTGAGCACATGGTACTGAAAAATTTTAAACGCTGAGGCTGTTGTACTATTTTTGTCACTGGAATTGTTTCATGTAAAATGCTGGGACGTGCTCTGACGGTGCATTCAAGTTCAAGTTGGACGAAAGACATAACGCTAATGATATTATATTATTTTATGTAGCCCAGAGGCAGATCAGGCATGGCTGCTGCTGCTTTTTCACCAGGCCAGGGTCGGTTCATACTACTACAGTCGGCTCGGTCTGCAAGCAGTGCACGGGATCCGGAATGTGTTGTGTCACGAATTTACAGGCACTGCCTAGAGTAAACATGGATCGGACTTCTAAATGAGCCGCGGCAGATCGGTAAATCAAACCAGTACCGTTTAATCTATCCGTCCACCAAACTCCCAAGCCCTGGCGTACCTGTTCCTGCACCGATGCAGGCATTCCATAGCAAGTATCTGTACCCGGTGTGGAGAAGACACTTGTATGCAAAGCTATCCGACTGACCCGGACTGCCATATTGCATCTCAAAATGCAAACAACAGGCATCGAGTTGCAAACTCGTAACCTCAGTATGGATGACATCGCCTTTCTCACTGCTATCCCTTTGCCGAAATCCCACCATGTACTGGATGAGCTACAACATGAATTATGAGGCAGGTCGTGGTGCGTATTTGTACATTCACTTCTTCTCACCCTGCATCACAGCCACAAGGGTATCTCTGCTCACGCTCTCGAGCAAGATGAAGAACGACGTGTCATCTTCATGGACCATATTGTCGAGATAGCTTTGGATTTGAAGTTTTGTGACGAAGTTGCAAAAGATGAAAGGACAGTCGACTCGCGGCCGATGTTCGAAAATTGGAACAAGGTTCGCTTCATTTATAGCTTAGTACCAGTCGAGGTGTACCGTTTCTTCTCAGTGACCTTTCAGAGTGATTTATCGTGTTTTTCAAGTATAGCTGTGAGAAAGTTAAGGTATTTGGGCTTGGAAACATGAAAAATGACATCTTTGACCTTCGTAGACTTCACCTCCTTGACTTTGTTTTGCCATTGCTTTCTGCAACAAAGACAGTCTCCCATTGACGTATTTCTGGGTTCGGGGATTCAGAAGGTGAGGCCGTCATTAAAAGCAAGTCTATCTAAAGGACTAGCATCTCTCGCAGCTTGGATTGAACTCGTTCACATGCTTACGAGGTCCTACTTCGGACATTCTAAGACGCAAGTTCAACTTGTACCTTTCCACATAATTTTGCAACCGGCTGTAACACAGCTTTCCCTATGCCTACCCACAGTACTTGAATAGGCCGAGACTTTGAAAGTGAGTCCGCGGGGTGTTCCTTCTCGGATGCTATTCCTCCCTCATTCGAGTCCACCCCAATATACTACCGCTGACGCAGGCGTTCGCAGCACAGGTGATTTATACACTATTGCCGCCATATCTTACACGCGTTCTGATTGATTCTTACCGATCAGCTTTATCTAGGACGCAATTTTCCCTCACCTCGTCTCCTCCGATTCCCTTTTTCAAGATATCACTCGTGTCTCCTATTATCTTCCTCTTTTCTTGAATATGCACCTCCTTCACTTCTTTACGTTCATTGCTTCTTGTCTCTCTGTTGCTCGTGCTTTCAGTGTGACAGTCGGGACTCCTACTCAATGCGGACCTCTCAGCATTTCGTGGACTGGTAAGCGCATATCTATCACATCTTATCGCTCCTGCTGAACTTTATCTGGTTTGTCAGGTGGGCAAGCACCATTTGAAATACTCTTAGTCCCTGTTCGTCGGCGCTATCGTCTCAATCGCATCAATCGCGCGCTAACCTTTGTGCTTTCCAGTCCGACCAAATATATCAGAATATACCTGTTCCTGCATCGGCCTTCAGCAATGGAAAAGGCTCTTATTCAATATCGCAATTGATGTTGTTGTCGGCAACGCAGTTCGTAGTCGTTATGTCTGACGCCACTGGATTTGCTTCGGGTGGGACGACAAATAATTTAATTGTTGGGAGTTCGACTGCAAACAATTGCGGCGCTGCAGATCCGCATCCTCCTTACACGTTCGAATTGTCTCCGCTGACGCAATGCAGGTAAGTTTGGTTTGCCTACTTTTTTGTGGCACTGACCTTACCACTACTGCAGTCCATTTACCATTACGGCCAGTGGTGCAGTCCCGCCCATTACTATTGGGGTCAGATCATTGCAAATTCTTTTAAAACGATCTACTCACCTTGCTACAGCAACTTATTCCTGGCGGACTATCAGTACTATTCAATTCCGGTAGCAGCACTTATAGCTCGATTTTAGATGTCAGCGCAGGGACGAACGTCCTGTATTTTGTCAACGACTCCTTGGGCAACCAAGGTGGGGTCAATCAATACGTGCCGGTCTCGGGGTCGAGCGATTCCTCGTGCCTGAATTTGCTATCATCTACTGCAGGCATATCGGCCACATCCACAGCTTTTCCGTCATCTAGTTCGAGCAGTTCATCAAGCAGTCCGTCAAGCAGTCCATCAAGCAATTCTTCAAGCAACGATGTTGCTATCATCGCAGGCGCAGCGGGCGGCGGCGGGGCTGTCCTTGTTGGGTTGGTCATCCTCGGCATATGCTTGCGACGTAAACGGAAGGCATCTCGTTTGCCGGACGTTCGGTCTTCTACAAAAAGCCATCCGCATCGACTGCAGCATACAGATACAAATTACAAAGCCAACCCTCACCCACCACAATCCCCTTCCCCATATACTCCTAGCAACCGCACCCGACCCATTCATTCTGGCCTAGGAACCCAGTCAGAGATGACCAATTCGTCTACCGTCACCTTCGCAGTTAGCGCCCCTCCCTCATCATTCAACCAGAAACAACATTCGCGCCAGAACTCCAACACAGACTCTTCTGCCCACGGGGATACTCAAAGTTCGACTGTGTCATTCGCTAACAGCCACCAATCACCCCCGTCCACCAGAAACTTCACACCCAACGATCTTCGCACACCGTTCAATCAGACACTGCATTCACGCCAGACCTCAGCTACGTCAGCTGTTGATAGGCGAATGGCTAGCGTCGCTGAGCTGCCATCACCGTGGGAGACAGATCCCGTCAACTACCTTGGTCTATCCATCCAATCCGGATTCCAACAGAGTCCTATTAATGCGTCTGCCACCAACATGGCGACTGGGGACCATTACGCACCCTTTAATCAGACACAGCCTTCGCACATGAGCCCTAACACGGAGTTTGCTGTCTATGGGGACGCTCAGATGTCAGGTATGACACCCGCCGAGCATATGGCTGCGGGGGCTCGACCAGCATCACCATTACCACGGAAGGTAGACCCTGTCTACTTTGCTCCACCCGTTCAAGTCGTATCTCAATCAACTTCTACCTTTACCGGCAACGACGCAGTTAAGAACCCTCCCGCACCCTCCAATCAGGCACAAAGTTCCGGTCAGAGCCTTGGTACAGACAGGTTAGATGTGCACGGAGCATCTGAAGGTCAATCTGTACCGTCGGCTAACGCCCAAACGACCTACCAACCTCCTAGCCGAATCATCGTTCATACAGACGCTAATGATGTTGTGCCAAACGAAAATGGTGTAGTTGAACTTCCGCCGCAGTATTCACAGCATTGGGAAATGCGTGCTCACTGATCTGAGCCTGGTTCATGATTACGTCCCAACACGCTTGGGTCTTCAGACATGGGTATGCCATGATTTTATTTCGTTCGAGTGTCTTGTCTTCAAGATTGACGTATAAGTCCTACTTTTATTTGGTGACATGTTCTTTTCAAGTTTCTCATGATATAATGATAATAATCACATGCACTTTAGTGAAGTACTAGGAAGTACATATGGCCTCACTTGTCTAGAATTTTTTCGTTGAATTCATCGAGAGGGGAAAGGAATGCGCGACGAACACGCACTAAAGATCCAGCATACTCAAAGGCATCACTCACCACTCGACATTACTGGTATACGGGGACACCGGCTCAAGAGTCAAAAGGTCTCAAATTCAAACTCAAACCCAGCAGCATGAACATGCCCATTTTGATCGTTCGACAGTCTCGAAGTGCTATGAGTAATAGTATGTACATACCTGTATGGGATCATCTTCCGACCGCCGCAGCTGACCTTACATAATACTCTGCGTCGAATACAAACAGGGATGTCACAGTCGACCACCTAGACCTGAATTCATTAATGGAGTCTTGGAGGATCTAATGTTAGACGCGGTGACGAAATCACATAAAATTATGAATGCTAGTCAACTCTTATTAGGTTTATCTTCATGCCACGCACCGTGACCGAATCTTTTAAAACCTTTCAATTGACTTTCAGTAGCCTCTCCTTATTATCAGCTTGTGGCCGCTTGTGCGCTTCTGTGATGTGTAACTACTTTGACGCCAGCACAGCACTTCGAGCATCATTTTTACCAACCAACTACCTCTCCCATTTAACGCCTTCAACATCTCGATGATCACCGCAGACGAAAACATGCAAGACACGTCATCACGACGCTGTCCCGTACCCGTCGACACTGACACTCCAAGCCTCAGAAACGAGTAAGTGACAAGCTAGACTGGGCTGAGCGTAACACTTATGGATTTACAGCGATGGAATCATTGGCAAGCTGCCTCCAACGAGCGAGAAGCTTGCAGAGGCCGTCGTGAGAAGTCCCATTAAGAATGTGTAAGTGTCAAGCAGTCAATCAATGCGAAACACTTGAGGTCTCTGATTATGCTGGGCGACAGGTCAAACACCGATGAACAGATCCCCAACGAACGACAAGGGCTTCCTATAGCTGAAGAACGTAACAACAAAGACGTTGAATCGAAGTTTTGGGCGACGTACGACGAGGTTTCGACGGGGTACGATAATGACTTTTTAGAGCGGGCGAATGGCGACATGGGCATCATCTTGACTTTTGTGCGTGTGTTCATATCTATCAATGCAAATCTAACAGAAGAACTTGAACCAGGCTGGTTTATTCTCAGCTGTCAACTCCACTTTTATCATCGGAATGCAGCCTAACCCGGCAGAAACTACCAACGTCCTCTTGTTTCACCTCATCCAAATGACAGCTAACGGCACAAACACTGCGAATGACATCAGCGGTCTTTCCTCTTCCACGCCATATCCTTCTTCGACTGTCTGGATGCAAACACTTGCGTATGCTAGCCTCTCGTTCAGCGTCTTAGCCGCGTTTGGGGCTGTGTTGGGAAAGCAGTGGCTCAACGCCTACAAGGCAGCTCGTGGGCAAGGGTCGCTCGAGGAACGCGGCAAACGGAGGCAGAGGAAACTGGATGGAATGGAGTATTTTCAGCTCCAGACCGTCTTGCAGGGGTTCCTCGTGCTCCTTCAGATCTCGTTACTCTTATTCGGGTTATCACTCAGCGCCAACATGTGGACGCAGCAAACCACGATATCCAGCGTCGTCATCTGCTCCACCGCATTCGGCATGCTGTTTTACGCAAGCGCTCTCCTCGTGACAATTTTGCGTCCGGACAGTCCTTTCCGGACACCAGGAGCTGAACTAATGGGAGCCATCTGCAGAAAATTTCTTCCGGACAGATTGACTTTCACTCCTGATGGTGGATCCATCAAATTGTCCGCTATCCGCTGGATACTAGAGACGTCTACTCATCCGGAAGTTGTCGAGGCTGTGGCTGCAATAGTACCTCTTGTGCAATGGCCGCAGGACCTTGATGTTTCCGCAATCTGTGCACGCTTACAGGATAACTTCGAAGCATGCCATGAAATGGAAGAGGTATTCGTGAAGTGTGGCAAGGCCATAGCCCATCTTTGCAGCCAGTCGCTGGAAATACCTTCACGCTTTCGCTACAAAGCCACGCATATCCGTGATTGTTGCGGAGGCAAGAGCCGTTTCATTCGTGATGCGTTCATGGACAGCCGTGACGCCTGCAATAACCTCAAGAACACGCAGCAAGCGGATGCTCGACAGAAGCATAAGGCTGATGCGCGCACGGCTCTGAGAACACTGGTCGTCCACGGCCATTACATTTGGTTTTCATTTCCAGACAATGAAAGGCTAATTTGGGATGGTGATCTGCGATGGCGTTACAATGACGAGCTCCTGCCCAGCTGTGAAGATTTTGACTGGCTCGTCGACTACTTAGTGGAAGAAGCAAACACCGCAGCAGATGATGAAACTGTGGGTGACGCTCTGCTTGCGCTGAGTGCAATGCACAGCCTAGGAAGCTCTACCAAGCGTCATTCCTACATCTCGGCGCTCATCCGTTGCATGGACCCTGCCAGACCTCCTCGTGTCCGACATGCTGCACTACGAGCCATTGCTGATGCCCAGTGAAAACTGACTATGACGGGAGGAGTCGTGGTGTGACGATAAGTGATTTTGTCAGCAGCTCGATAGAAAAACATATGAGAACATGATAAGACACGTAGTGAGCGAATCCGCACATTTCAATATATGCGGGGGCGGGTTTCCTCATGCACATAGGTGCTTTTTTAACGTAAAACATATTTGCGCATTTGAACACATATACTCGTTCCCCTTGCCAGATGGTTGAAAATGTGCGCAAATATGCTCGAATAATATTAGGCACTGTAGCAATGGTGGTACAAAAGTGGTACAAAAAAGCTCAAAAACACATAGCGGCTTGAAAACATGACACGCGCGGACAACGGCTCGAAAGCACTCGAAAACATTGTAGGAAATGTGTATGTCGGATCGTGCTGAATCTAATAGAGACATCCTTCGGAGACAGATTTAGTCCATGTATCAGAAGCGACCTAGTAGATGAGACTTACCTTACGGGAGATTCACTAGTAGAGTTGGCTGTCGCAAACTGCTTGCCCCCCGAGGTCCAGAACATCCAAGAATCGTTGGTAACCTGTTGCTAGCGAACGGTTAAAACAACGTCAACAAACAAAAAAGGTCACGCAACAATAGAGTGGCCTCAGTTTTATATCATCCCGCTGTTCTAAACTCGTGTGGTCAGCGCAATCATACCGTCGGATAAGCGACATGTGAGACACTCACAGGGCAGAACCAGTGGAGGAGAATAGCGAGACCTTTAACTCGGAGGTGGGAATGTGGTGGGGAGGAAGAAGGGTGGGGAGAAAGAAGGGTGGGACAACAGAAATTTGGCCCCAACAATTTATGTTGCTTTGGGGTGCCGCACGACCTTCGTAGCTTGCACAAGTTGCAATGACATTGATGCAAAGTTTGTGTTTGCGATGTGCAGTTTGCGCTTTGCGATACGGAATTTGTGCTATTACATAGCTTGATACGAAGATGTTATGCAATGCGAACTTTGCAAAGCTAATAAATGACGAAAATATAAGAAATGAGCACACCCTGGCACAGTACTAATACGGTAATTCACGTCTCAGCACATATAGACCTCTCCCGTCATAGTCAGTTTTCACTGGGGCTGATGCTCGAGAAGAATTGGCATCTATGACAAATGAGTCAATACCACAGGGTGTGGATGCAGCACTCCTGGACAAGCTTTCTTATGCTATTTTGACCGCCGTACGTCCAAATCACTTGCAGGACCAGACAGTCCAATACGGTGGACCCGACGCTTCTTTTCACGAAGATCGAGATACTTGCTACTCTCGTCTCATCATTGCCCTTGCACAGAATGATGAGTGGCGCGAACGTCTGGCCCGTGATGGTCATTTCGAGCATTGCGTTTTTCTAGCCGAGGCCCTTGAATGCCACACTTGGCTTCCCGGATGCTACCTTGCTGGGATTTTCGCATATATCAATCCCTCAAACAATGTTCTTCCTCGTAGCCCTGCCCAGAAGAGGAGGCAGGCATTCATCAGGGAGAGATGGAACACACCCTATATCATGCCACGCCACATCAGTGCACTATCAACCCTCGTGGTGGCGACGAGGGATAATTTACCAGACTGGGATTCTAACGAGGAATTAGCAGAACTCACTACAGATGTGTCTAGAGTTTTGAAATTGTTGCCAGGGCAAAAAAAATTCATGGTTTATTTCGGTCTAGATCAGGCTCTATTTGATGCTGCCCTGTCCTCCGTGCAGGGTTTGTATGACGATTTATGTCGTATGATCGAGAACCCAGGTACCTTGCAGACGGACAATGGGTCTTTGGAGTCTTGAAGGCAAACCGTTATGTGGCAGTATCGTATATCCTACCATTCTGACTTGTAATTCTACGCTGAGGTTGGTATATTTATTCCTCCAAGGTTGAGCGCTGAGCCGTTAACTTGCCAGTACTGCCAATTTCGTACAATAACTATTATCCCTCCATATGTGACACCAGTGTATTCGTCTCCCTACCTTATATACATACGGCTATAGTAGCAGAACGCCTCCGACACCTCTATAGTTTGAGATAAACTTTCGCTTCAATCATATCATCTGAGACTATAGTTCAATTCCCTTTCCTCTGCGAGTTTCAAATTAGAGCAACGACTTAAGAGCATCATACGCATCAACTTTGTTTTCGGCCGTACGCACGGCTACCTATTACTAGTTGTATATTGGAAGTTGCAGCGACTAAAACTCCCTTCATGATACTCTCAACTGCTAATCTATATCATATTCTCCGAGTCGAATAAATCAAGTTCGAAGTCAGATATTCATCACTCACGCAAATAGTCTGAATCCACCGACACCTCTAAAACATTTAATTCGCCACCGTCTTGAACCAAGCTTTTCAATGGCTAGTCCAGGGCCTGACCCCAGCTTTCATACAGGATGCACAAAGGAATACTCCCATCACTCCGTTTCTAGCGTCTTCATCTGGTTGCGCATGCAGGGTGAGCGAGAACATGGAGGCAGCAGGATTTTCAAAGGTGTAGAATGACACTTTGGGGAATCGGGATGACGGTGGAACACCTGGGCCTGAGCGATACGAGCAGGATTTCACGCTCAGGCTTTGTTCTTATATCGATAAGCACGTCAATGCAAAGTACTAGCTAACTGATCAGTACAAAGGAACACGTTGAAATTAATTGCAAATACATCGCAGGATATACGTACTTCGATTATATATGCACTACAAGGACCAGATCACGCCTGGTTTCGCTACATTACTATAGCACATCTTAGTTGGAAATACTGAGTGGAATCAACATCATGATCGTACGAGGAGTCTAAGGATTGTCTACTTCTTTTCTGTCAAGTCCTTTGCTGCAGGCTATTGATAAACTTTGACTTTCCAGGTTCACAATGAGGCGAGGGACTTACACAAGCGATTTTCAAGGATGAACTCGAGAATCTTCTTTCCCAGTTCCTCTCCATGGTGGTCTTGACGACAAATCTCTTTCGCTACTTTCTCTACTGTGACAACCATGGGGGATTTCAGGTAGTAGTCCACGGCAGACTCCACGAGCTCCGAGCCCTCCGACTTGTACGGGAGAAACGCAGAGTACTCGAGGACAATAATGGTGGCTGCTTCCTGTCATTAAGACTACAACCGGTCATGGGGTGAGAAACTAACCGATGCCAGTCTGAATTATTCTGTTCGCAGCAGAAGTGAACAGTGAACCCTTCATAGCCTGTTGGACACTCGTACAGTGCTGGGAATCAATGCGGGGGAAAGCCAACCTACCAAGGGCTGAAGGACGCGGATAATATCATCCCGGCGGGTTTTGGCCTAGCCACAAGTTGAAAGTATGGGTATCAGAATCGACTCCACAGGGGAAAGTACTTGCTCCCTGCGGGAAAGGAATGTCAGAATTATGAGGCGGAAAATTAGCATTTGGTGAATAACAGAGACGTACATCCTATTTGGTCGACGTAACAGTTGTGAATAATCAACCACCAAATCGTAGACAATGAATGCTGCGTTCACGTAACTTACAAACTGTCAGGGGTTGGAACCAGATGAGCATCATTATATATTGGCAAATACCATTCATGGACGTACGAGCTAGATAAGATCGTGTGTCAGTGGACTAATATGATGTCAGACAGGATATGATCAACACACATTCTGCGAACACGTGATGAAGACAAGATATTATATGGCTCAAACCATTGACGATTCAAATACACTTACATCCTACAGATCGACAGAGTCAGTGAAAATGATCAAGACATTTAACGCTTCGCATTATGAAGGTCAAACGACTCACATTCTGCATAGGGCACGAAAATATGCAGGATGAATGAACATGGAAAAAAAGTCATTAAGAAGGGATACTCAACGAACTAAGCATCATATGAGCAATGATGATTCGACTCATCTGATGGAATAGAACACACTTACGTTGGGCTATGAAAACGAGTGAACATCATTATACTATTGAGCATCATCTGAATACAAAATATGATCAAGACACGCACCACCTGCCAAAAAAAACAGTAAGTGTAAGACCTGTCCACACGAGTTGCAGACAGAAAACCATCAAGGCACTTACCCGCTGTCAACAGGCGAGGAGGAGCGATTGTCAGCATGGGTTAAGGATGAGAGACCATCAAAAGTACATACATTCTGTCAACAAACGAGCAGCAGGGAGGCATGGGAATGATGAGCATGGGTCAAGGACTAGAAACCATCAAGGCACTTACATACTGCCAACAGGCGAGCAGCGATGAGGGATGGCGATCATGAGCATAGGTCGAGAACTAGAAACCATCAAGGCACTTACGTCCTGCCAACGGACGAGCAGCAGCGAGGGATGGGCACCATCAGCGTGGGTCGAGGACTAGAAACCATCGAGGGACTTACCCACTGTCAACAGGTGAGCAGCAGCGAGGGATGGCAATCATGAGCATGGGTCGAAGACTAGAAACCATTGAGGCACTTACATACTGTCAACAGCCGAGCAGCAGCGAGGGATGGGGACCATGAGCGTGGGTCGAGGACTAGAAACCATTGAGGCACTCACATACTGTTAACAGACGAGCAGCAGTAAGGCATCAGCGTTGTCCTTCCGTAGCTTCGTAAGCTACAATCTTACCAGCTATTATCAATAAACAACTACAATCAAGGAAAACATATCAGAATGTCTACTATTTCAGCACTTCGATATTTACCATCCGTGAGAACCATTATCAGGGAATGATTGAATCAATCTTCCTCTTACTTTGAGATGCGGAAACCACTTAGCAATGTCATGCTGATAGTGTTCGTAATCAATTTTCTTATGCGCACGATCAACCAGTGTTCTAGATGATGTTGAAACAAAAATGCGTGACTTGTAAATCTGAGACTCACGCAATGGCACATTTGATGCAAAGCTCCAGGTTCGATTTTTGTGTCGATACCAAGCACGACCGCAATTCTTCATCGTCCAGTGCGAAAGTGGTGCTTTCCAGTAGAGTGTCGCAGTTTGTATTCTGTTGGTTCATATCTAAGATGGTTGCTAATGTCAACTTTGATATGGGACAAATCAATCTGAACCACTCACTCTGCAAGCGCACATAGGAGTTGGGGCGTGCAAGGTTTTCGGGGTTGCACAACTGATCCAAGACGCCTGTCTTAGTGAAAAGTTCCTCGACGCGCTCGGCAATCCTCTTTGAGCGTTCTTCGGCCGATACTCCCTTTAGTTGCTTCTTGATTTCTCCATATGCGAATGGACGCAGAGCTTCGAATTTGGTGAACACCGTGACAACTGGAACTGAAGATTGGTCATTTAGTCCGAGAGCGGCAACTGAAGATGAAGTTGCAAGCTCACCATGCCCGATGTCGCACTCCCGGAAGAACTTCTCTTCTGATCGCTGGAACGTTCGACTCGGGTCGTCCATTGGGATACAATACCTGATGGCAATTAACAAGCACGAAATGTCACAAGGGAGTCACTTACCAAATAGCATGGATCCGCTCCTCCAATTCCGTCGCATGCGCACGTTCTGATATAAATTTCTTCATATTCTCGAATTCTTCTTCAGACCCCGCTTCGAAACCACACGAGTCATGGAAGACGAAACCAGGGTTACTTTTGAACACCATCTCGTTCGTGATGTCGTGATTTCCACGCTGAGCGTCCGTCAGCGGATGTATGTCCACAGGGAAAATGATGCACCCACCTTGATCGATGATTTCACGATGGCAGCATCGATCTACCAGTGATTAATCAGGGCTGGACGCGTGCATGGCATAGATCATCACCCGCACCTTCTTTCCGTTGGTATCGTAGATTTCTGGTTGATCGGTGGTGTTGCAAACCTTCTGAAGGATAGTCGTTTTGCCTGCGTTTGCTCTCCCCATGATCAGAACTCGAAAGCGCCTGATCATCCGTCTGAGGTCCTGGGTTTCGATGGTTGCCATTGGGAGATCTTGATGTGCGTCCTGAGGCAGAGGTGATTTAGTTTATCGTGAAAGTTGTAGTGCGGTACAGAACGAGGTCGTGGCAAGATATGGCAGTGAACGAATACGAAGCAACTATGGCTTATGACACATCAGCTACATAAGGCGTCTATCTCTTATCTCCCCGCGTCAAACCACTGATTATACTCACAAAGTTGCAACTGTTCAATCATTCGTACGATAAAGCACCAGGATTACACAACAGATGATGTCGAACAATGAAAATGTTGATAGAAATATTGACTATAATGAACGATCAGAATACGATGGAAATGTCAGAATTTCGCTATTCCCTACCCGTCTAGCTGAAAAGCAGTGATATCGGAAATCTCTGTAAATAGACGTAAGCTCGATCTTCCGAGGTCTTCCAGATGACTGATCCTTGAAACGTCTGAGAGCAAACAAGAGCATGCTGGGATGCGAAACACCTTCTGGAATGGGTGACATGCCGTGATGCTCGACAGGGTCCGCACATCTGGGGTTTCCCCCAGAGGATGGTGGTTCTTGGTATGAAGAGCGATGGAGCAGTAGGTACCGTGCGCATTGGCCGAACTCGAACATCGACCACGCTCATTGGTACTGAGGGAAGGGCTGAAGTAGTGGGCCGTGAGAGCTTGTGTATTCATAGATAGCTCGGGGCAGGTTTGGTACACATCCACGAATGAGTCCGACTATCTATCATACTTAGAAATTGGCCCATATATTGTCAAGTATCAAAGAAGACGTACCGACCAATATGCACGTAGATCGGGAGGGCTGTTGCGCGTCTTACTGGATTACGGAAAAAAATCTGCCCCAAGAATACTCACTCAGCACAATGGATACACTTCTTGCAGCCTTAAGAGTCGCCATGCTATCTGGGTCGGTGCGCCATTATTGAACTGGGCCCTCCTCCGACTCTTCCTGCACTGCTGGTGCCTACTGTGGTGAGTGATGTCATTCAGGCCGGCTCCTTCACAGTTCTTAGCGAGCTCCCTGGTGTCTTTCGATGGTATTGAGATCATATAGCGCCAACCGTCATGATGTAAGTGATAAAGTACATGACCCTACGCCTCGAACATACAAAACAGCTTGCTTTAGCAAGAATACGATCAGTATAAGGACTCGCGGTGCAAGCCAAGACTCACTAGTCTGAAAAATATGTGTGACTGCATGCCTCGGATCCAGCCATTTCGAAAAACCTTGACAGCATTGCAAGACATAGCGTTAAATGCCGGCGCACCGTGACAGTCGTAAAGCTCGATTATTATCTCGCACGTCCTCTCGTGTTCCTTGTCTGAAGCTGAACGTGGAAGGTAGAGCTTGACAGCGGCTGGTGATGTAGATACCCTCAAGCGAAGGTGTGAACTACAGTGGTAATCTGGATTGTGTAACTGCTTCTGTGCTGAGTCCGATGTCTTCATCGTGTAGACCAGCTGTTTGCGTCTACAAGGCAAACGTGAGGGGGTGACGAAGATCCTTACGCTTCACGTGCGTAAAAAATCCTCCGTAAGGATATGCTCGTCCACGTCTAGGGGTGCGAGAACACCACTGTCATTAGGGTGTGGCAGTGGTGGATCTGGGACGGAGACCGCTGTAAAATCACATGTTGGGGACTCGGAGGTGGAATGGGAGGGCGAATAGCTATCGCTGTATCGAGAATGTCTCCAGAGGCATCGTAATCTGCAAAATGGTTCTCCTGTAGGGATAAATTGAAATTATAAGTTATTGTAGTAAAAACAAGACGAACTTCTATACCAGGATTACGATCCTGTTCATCCTGCTGGACAGGTTGCGGGTCCCGATGCCATGCTAGCATGTATCCTTTTCTCTTTCAGAAAACACGTCCTCTTGTATCGGTACGTCTACATGCATGCCGTTTCCACGTTTCGTAAAGTACTTGGTGCGGTTGGCTCCTGCACAATATCTCGCAATCGCAGTGTTATTTTTTGGTGTTATTGAATCTGTAAAAGTGTGTGTAGTCATGGTGTGTCGACGAAGATATGTCTTTCTGACACAAGACGCTGACAGAACGCAGGTCACAGATAACTGAGATAGGTTCTGTGCAACGTGTGCTCTGCCTGCGTTTCGTATGTTAGAGCAATGATAGACCATGAACGAAATGACGAAATTCAAACATGGAGTCACATGACAGGAAGGAGGTACATACTACAGCCTATATTCGTTCCCTCTTTTTCGCATATCCGTCACTCGAGAGCTAATATCTGTATGGGATTATCATAACTCACGCTCAAGCATTGTTCTTGTACGGTAGGCAACGATAAGCATGTCAATGCAAGGTAGTAGCAAATTGGACGCGATTCACCGGACAAAATTGAATATGAAATTAATTGCAAACACTACAGCGATCAGGGGCCTGGTTGAACTCTTATTAGGTTTATCTTCATGCCATGCATGCACCGTGACCGAACCTTTTACAATTATTCACTTTCAGTATGCTCTCCTTATTATCATCTTATGGCCGCTTGCGCGCTTCTGTGATGTGTAACTACTTTGACGCCAGCACAGCACTTCGAGCCTCATTTTTACCAACAACCACCTCTCTCATTTAACGCCCCCAACATTTCGATGATCACCGCAGACGAAAACATGCAAGGCACGTCATCACGACGCTGTCCCGCACCTGTCGACACTGACACTCCAAGCCTCAGAAACGAGTAAGTGACAAGCTAGATTGGGCCGAGCGTAACACTTATGGATTTACAGCAATGGAATCACTGGCAGGCTGCCTCCAACGAGCGAGAAGCTTGCAGGGGCCGGCGTGAGAAGTCCCATTAAGAATGTGTAAGTGTCAAGCAGTCAATCAGTGCGAAACACTTGAGGTCTGATTATGCTGGACGACAGGTCAAACACCGATGAACAGATCCACAACGAACGACAAGGGCTTCCTATAGCTGAAGAACGTAACAACAAAGACGTTGAATCGAAGTTTTGGGCGACGTACGATGAGGTTTCGACGGGGTACGATAATGACTTTTTAGAGCGGGCGAATGGCGACATGGGCATCATCTTGACTTTTGTGCGTGTGTTCATATCTATCAATGCAAATCTAACGGACGAACCAGGCTGGTTTATTCTCAGCTGTCAACTCCACTTTTATCATCGGAATGCAGCCTAACCCGGCAGAAACTACCAACGTCCTCTTGCTTCACCTTATCCAAATGACAGCTAACGGCACAAACACTGCGAATGACATCAGCGGTCTTTCCTCTTCCACGCTATATCCTTCTTCGACTATCTGGATGCAAACGCTTGCGTATGCTAGCCTCTCGTTCAGCGTCTTGGCTGCGTTTGGGGCTGTGTTGGGAAAGCAATGGCTCAACGCTTACAAGGCAGCTCGTGGGCGAGGCTCTCTCGAGGAACGCGGCATACAGAGGCAGAGGAAACTGGATGGAATGGAGTGTTTTCAGCTCCAGGCCGTCTTGCAGGGGTTCCTCGTGCTTCTCCAATTCTCGTTACTCTTATTCGGGTTATCACTCAGCGCCAACATGTGGACGCAGCAAACCACCATATCCAGCGTCGTCATCTGCTCCACCGCATTCGGCATGCTGTTTTATGCAAGCGCTCTCCTCGTGACAATGTTGCGTCCGGACAGTCCTTTCCGGACACCAGGAGCTGAGTTAATGGCAGCCATCTGCAGAAAAATTCTTCCAGACAGATTGACTTCCGCTCCTGGTGGTGCATCCGTTAAATTGTTTGCCATCCGGTGGATACTAGAGACGTCCACTCATCCAGAAGTTGTCGAGGCTGCGGCTGCAATGATACCTCTTGTGCAATGGCCGCAGGACTTTGATGTTTCTGCAATCTGTGCACGCTTACATGATAATATCGAAGCATGCCATGAAGTGGAAGAGGTGTATGTGAAGTGTGGCAAGGCCATAGCCCATCTTTGCAGCCAGTCGCTGGAAATACCTTCACTCTTTCGCTACAAATTTACGCATATCCGTGATTTTTGCGGAGGCAAGAACTGTTTCATTCGTGATGCGTTCATGGACAGCCGTGACGCCTGCAATCGCCTCAAGAACACACAGCAAACTGACGATCGACAGAAGCATAAGCATAAGGCTGATGCACGCACGTCTCTGAGAACGCTGGTTGTCCACGGGGATTCCCATTTCTTTAGGCTTCCAGACGATGAAAGACTAATTTGGCGTGGTGATCTGCGATGGCGTTACAACGACGGGCTCATGCCCAGCTGCGAAGATTTTGACTGGCTCGTCGATTACTTAGTGGAAGAAGCAAACACCGCAGCAGATGATAAAACTGTAGGCGACGCTCTGCTTGCGCTGAGTGCCATGCCCAACCTAGGGAGCTCTATCAAGTGTCATTCCTACATCACGGCGCTCATCCGTTGCATGGACCCTGCCAGACCTCCCCGTGTCCGACATGCTGCACTACGAGCCATTGCTGATGCTCGAGAAGAATTGGCATCTATGACAAATGAGTCAATACCACAGGGTGTGGATGCAACACTTTTGAACAAGCTTTCGTGTGCTATTTTAAGTGTCGTATGTCCAAATCACTCGCAGGACCAGACAGTCCCATGCAGTGGACTCCACCCCTCTTTTGACTGGGATCGAGATGCTTGCTACTTTCGTCTCATCTTTGCTCTTGCACAGAGTGATGAGTGGCGCGAACGTTTGACCCGTGGTGGTCATTTCGAGCATTCCATTGTTCTAGCCGAGCATTCCATTGAATATCAGACTTGGCTTCCCGGATGCTACCTTGCTGGGATCTTCGCATATATCAATTCCTCAGACAAGCTTCTTCCTCTCGACCCCACCCAGAAGAGGTGGCAGGCATTCATCGGGCAAAGATGGCAGGACGCCCGCCACAAAATTTATGAAGACGCCAACGTCAACGCACTACCAGTCCTCGTGGCGGCGACGAGGCCTATTTTGCCAAGCTGGGATTCTAGCGTTCCTAACGAAGAGTTAACAGAACTCACTACAGGTGTGCATAGGGCTTTGGAATCAATGCAAAGGAAGAAAGATTTGCTTGTGTTTTATGGTCTAGATCAGGTTCTATTTGATGCTGCCCTATCCTCTGTGCAGGGCTTGTATGACGATTTGCGCCGTATGATCAAGAACCCAGACATTTTGCAGACGGACAATGGGTCTCTGCAGTCTTAAAGGCGGGTCGTTATGTAGCAGTATCATGTAAGTATCTTACAATACTAACTTGAGCTTGGATTGGTATGTCTTCAAGGTCGAGTCATCTGCATCAGCTTCCCAGTACTGCACCTACCAATTCCGTACGATAACTGTTTCCACTTCATGACACCAGTGTATTCGTCTCCCTACCTTATATACACACGGCTAGCAGAACGCATCCAACACCTCTATAGTTTGGGATAAACTTCCGCTTCAATCATATCTTAGACTATAACTTTCCTCTGCGAGTTTCAAATTAGAGCAACGACTCAAGGGTAAAATCAACTTTGTTTTCTGCCGTGCACACGGCTACCAGTCGTATGTCGGAAGTTCCAGCGACTTATAAAACCTCCCTTCATGATACTCTCAACTGCTGATCTATATGGGTCCCCCGCCAGAGTCAATTTCTGTAACATAGCGATATTTATTCCATGGAGTTTGTGCATTCAGATGACTGTGATGAAAAAAAGGGAGAGTTATCGATTCAAAGGCAAATTATGTGGTCAAAGGACTTGTAGAATCTGACATCACATCGTCCATCACGAGGATGGTGGGCACGACTAGGAGTGAATTCGACAGACAATACTTCGACGCGCTGTTTGCATCAGGCGTGCCAAAAGCCTCATCTCAGGCTTGTATCATTCCATGCTGATCTCTGGAGCCCATGACAACTGAATCAGACCGATAACAGGACAATTACATGTTCAAGCATTATGCTGACCTACCAGAAATGAACTCGACAGGAATGCAGAGCTGCAATACACCACGCGAATATACACCACCAAAAATGCATGACGATCACATACCTTCCGCCCTGCGCCATATTCAAAACATATCTCCGGCGGGCGTCTTCTCCGAGTCGAATGAATTGAGTTCTGATGTCTGTGGAAGTCAGTTACGAGAGATATTCATCACTCACGCCTGAAGCCACAAATACCTCTAAAACATTTAATTCGTTACCGTCTCGCACTACGCTTTTCAATGGCCAGTCTAGTGCCTGGTGCAAGCTTTCGTACAGGATAAACAAAGGAATACTTCTGTCGCTCCGTTTCCAGCATCTTCATCTGATTACACATGCAAGGTGAGCGAGAACATGGAGGCAGTAGGGTTTTCACAGGTGTAGTAGGATGACACTTTCCGTGCCCGGTTATTGGACTATACTCTACTATCCACTGACGAGGAAAGCAAGAGTGATATCGAAGAAGATGAGAGAGGCAGCAGTCGCGATGTAGAGACCGAAAGGAGAAGGAGGATATAATGCTAGAGACGAATGAATGCCAATAAGACACTCGACGAGGTGCTGTTTGGCATTTGTTTGTCCCTACTAATTTGGGCGCACGAGGACTCATCCAGGAAACGGCCAGTCTGGGGCCAAAGTCTGGGGCGGAGTCTGGGGTCAAAGTCTGGGGCTGCGGCTGACGCGTGCGGAGCTTAATTCTAAGTTCCAATTATATCTGGTCACGTTTGCAATACCAGTGTGACCCGTCCATTGTGAGTTCACCTGGCTATCCCAATTAGTAAGCCTTACTAGGCTTGGTACACACGTGCCGTGCCAACTATAATTAGGCTCGCCTGTAGTTAAATCCCAACACCAGCAATAAATATTGCCCTAAATCATATTTTACCTCTAGTACTGTATTATCACAGCCGCTAAATATATCCGGCAAGGTACGTGTTTACCACACTTACTAATTAGGGTAGCCAGCGCTCTCTGCAGCGCCATTCCCGCCATTCCCGCCATTCCGGCAGTTTCCGTTCCAGGTCCGTTTCCCAATGAGGGTTCTGTTTGGGCAAGGGGCGCTCCCACGCCCCTTGCTCCTTACCTTTACGCCGCCGCCCACACTGGCCAGGACAGCGCCTGCACACCATGTCCTGCGACGCAGGCTCTCTCGAGAGTCTCAGGTTCAGAGGCCTCTCGGTTCTATGCATCTCCTGTCATTCCGGCAGCTTCCGTCTTAGGCCCTTTTTCAACTAGGCCCTGTTTGAGCAAGGGGCATTCTCACGCCCCTTGCTCCTTACCTTCATAGCGCCGCCTACAGTGGCCAGGACAGCATCAACACACAATGTCTCGTGGTGGAGTCCCTCTCAGGCTCAATGGGCTTTCAAAATCAGTTGTATCACACAATTTCAGAGGGCGTCATCGCCAAACACGCATCCTTATGGCTGGCAAGCAGTTTCAGCGTGTAGCTGATACAGATGCTATGCGTCGCACTGAGATTCAAGGTTAGTGCTCATCTTCTGAGTTTCAAGATAGTGTTCACAGTTTTTTAGAGATGTCAACAGAAGATCGCGATATGGTGGAGAATATGATGGTAGACCATGGAATGGATTCCGAGGCGCTCCCGTACACAGCACCCCCTGGAGAGGAAGGCTTGGAGTTTAGTCACGCGGGCGGAGAACATGAAGCTTTTGAAGGTCTTGCAAGCCAAATTGCTGAGATCAGCGGCTGGTGAGTTTATTTACCTATCTGCGCTTGCTTAGTCTCACCCCACATAATAGTCGCTATACAGATCACCGCACACGCCATGACCGTACAGAAAATCAGACGGCTCACTGGGATATTCAAATAGATCACCTTGTGGATGCTTATCTCGACTATCGCTCTCGCTCTGCTGAGAATGGCATGCCAACCTTCAATGAACCACTCATGGCGCCATCTTCAAGTGATACTCAGTGCCTTTCGCTAAGTAATATCGAACTTGTAGATCTTTTTCGTATGTATGATGGACTTCGCCCTGCTATCAATGCTAATTTATTTTCAGAGCGAAGCCGCTCATCGCCTCAATCTTTGTTGTCTCACAAGTACCCTAATGAGACCCTGATTTATCATGGCTACATTGGGTGTGCGCCAATGTATCCCACGGTTGCAATATCCTTACGCACTCTTGCTGCCTACCGCCAAATTCATCGAACGTGTCCTCGTTTCAGCATCCAAGCTCAATGCAAAGCTCTGTGTTTTCTTCATGACGTAAGTGCATGGCTCATCTGGTGAACCATCTTACGATGGGCATTTAATAGATTCCTTATCGGCCATACTTGTGCATGCAATTTTCGGCTGCATATGACATATACCTCGAAATCGCTCACATTGTCGATAAGCGTCTCCGGGCAGCCCTGAATCACGACACGCCTAACTGGCGTTTACTCAATTCCTGTCCAGCATGTTTCTATAAGCTCCAGGATGAGCCCACACTTGAGTTTGACTGGCTCGTCTCAATAGATGGCAACAATAGCTTGAAACGCTGGGATTCCGCTATATATGGTACAACTGCACGCATGGATTCTCGCAAGGCACGTTCCGACTACTGGATTGGACCCACGGCTGTAGACCAATTCAAGGGTGAAGTTAAAGCTCAGGGAGTAAGTCTTTTCTTCTGACGTTATCACTGCCTGATGATGTCGTACAGGACTCAAGTCTAGATGATTGGGGAGATGAACCCATCAAGACTAACCCGGGCTCACTCACTTGCGTTAGTCGCTGGCGAAATGCCGGACCCGAAACACGCAAGAAGATGTTTTCAGTCTTCCACGAATCAGGCATTTTTATTGCTGCCTGCCGTCATCGTTTCGTACTCCTGGCCTGCGACATGATCCAAAGCGGAGAACTGTAATTCACTCTTGCCGTCAGTTAATTTGGCACTGACTTGATTTGATAGAGCTAAATATCCCCTCGCGCTCATCGATAAGCTTCTTACGGTTTACGGGAAGAATGGAGCTTGCGCTTACGACATCGGCTGCGCGTTCTCCAAGACCTTAACGAATAGCTCCTTAGGCCCGCGAGCATTAGACTTGAATTTTCGGATGATGGTTGGCGCGTTTCACGGCCATGCACACAACCGCAAATGCCAGTTGGTCTGGCATCCAACATATATTTTGGGCACTGGACACAGTGAGGGTGAAGGGTGCGAGCACATATTTTCCGCCTCAAATGAGCTCGCTCGTAGCACTAGACATGCAAGCCCGTTCCACCGGCACCAAACTATCGAAGAACACTTTGCTTTTTGGGACGCTGACAAGTATGCTGTGCTTTGTGCGTAATTTCTTTAAGGACCTAATATTCGATTATGAAACTGATATTTCGTCAGCCAATTTTTTATCAAATCATTACCGAGAAGCCACCAAACAGATCAGTGTGCTCACGGCTGAACTAGCCATCATTCAATCTGAGCTTGGTCTTACTGATGCCGACTTCCCTCGCTTCCTCAAGGAAGAACATGATTATCTTGACGGTTTGAAGCAGCCACCTGAAAAAGATCGCCTCTCTGTTCGGTACGTTGAGGTGCTCGATGAGCTTGCTGAACGGAGGTAATGATAACTATTTTGTTGATATGTGGCCCTGACACTAATTTATTAGGGCTGATTGGGACTTAGCACGCGAAGCTGCTAACAGTTCCCTCACTGCAATTGCAGCCGGTAACCTGGAGCAGATAAACAACGCACTTTTGCAAGCTCGTATTCGGGTCGACTCTTCATACGCTAAATTACAGCATGCCGAGGCATTGGTTGCGCACGTAGAAGCTCTCTTGGCTGTTGATGCACGATGGGAGATTGGCGGCCAGGAGTATAACCATTTTAAGGAGGAAGTATCTCTCAGCAAGTATCGCAGTGCGCTAGATGACCTGGAGCGTCTGGTTGTTATGAGGTTATTTGAACTTTCGAAGTTGTCATTGTCCGGCACAGGTGTTTGTTTATTGCAAATCACACATTCAGTGAGCTAATGTTTTTTAGGGTATAAACTACGTCAACAACTCGGCAAAGCGCTACAACGGCGATCAGAAGCTATTCGGAATGCCATCAACCGCTACAATGTCCAAGCTGTCGCTTTAAATCCACCGCGACAGAAGGTATCTTGGAAAGACATCGCTGACTACAGTTTCCTTGGCGAATTCGATCTGCTGCGCCATTCTCGTACTGATATTCGAAATAGTGACTGGGCAACACCTGCTCATCGAGAGGCGACCACCAAATATTTCAAGCTTTGTCGAGCTCGCGAAGAAATTACTCGGCTCAACGTCGAAGTTCGCCGTCTGCGTACGGCAATTCATGATGAAGAACTCCATACCTCTACTGTCATACAGGATCTTCATGTTTCGAACCCACAGTTGGGGAATGAGCTTCGACGCCAGTGGCGTTCACGTATGGCCATCGATGCTATTCATTCTTTTCGCCTAGATCGCATTCCTGGATTTTCAGGAACGAGAGGTGTTGGTGTCCGCCTTAATCAGTTCACATCGTCTAGCAATGATAATGCAGATTCAGCCCGTCCTACCTGTCCTGGTACGTTTTGTGCAAGTGTTCGTTATTTGATGTTTTGAAACTAATTATATCGCAGTGCAACGAGACATCATTGATGATGTGCATGACATCATCGCTTCTGATATTGACCTAGATGCTGAAGAGAATGATTCATTGACGCAGGACATGGCCGACTATCTACAATCCATTAACGATTAACATTTATCTCGTGATCTACAGCACTCTGCTATGTATGTAATGACACTTCTGATAATAATAATCATGCTTCAGAACAGCGAGAGTGGTTGTCTGAAAGCTACCCTGCTTAAACATTAATCTACTTTAGAACAGCAAGAGCGGCGGTCTGAAAGCTACCCTGCTTGAACTTTAGAATAGCGAGAGGCGGGCTTACTTACATAGAATCAGCTTTAGAACAGCAAGAGCGGCGGTCTGAAAGCTACCCTGCTTGAACTTTAGAATAGCGAGAGGTGGGCTTACTTACATAGAATCAGCTTGAGAACAGCAAGAGCGGCGGTCTGAAAGCTACCCTGCTTGAGCATGAGATTTACATGAGGGTTAATGTATATATAGTGATTGAGGTGGGCTTACTTACATAGAATCAGCTTCATAGAACATCAGGAGCGGCGGTCTGAAAGCTACCCTGCTTGAACATCAATCTACTCTAGAATAGCAAGAGCGGTGGTCTGAAAGTTACCCTGCTTGAACTTGAGAATAGCGAGAGTAATGGTCTGGAAGCTACTCTACTTGGACCTGATACTTACATGAGTGTTAATATGTCTAGTAATTGAGGCGCCAGGCTTGCTTACATGACCGCTGTCAATACATCAATGTTTACCAAAACCTTTCTGATGGTAGGACGAACACTCCTATTATGTGTTATTAAATAGCCTTTGCTAGCGCCTTTGACCTTTACGTTCAAACTACAGCAGTCTGTTTTCAACATCATGGTCGTTACTCCCCCCAAGGCAAAACCACAGCCATCCGCACAAAAATCATCGCCAATGGAGACGCTCACACTAGTACCGGGATCTGGTCATTTCACAATGTCTAGTCTAGCTGCTCTCCATGCATCGCCATTTGCACAAGGCTTCAGCAACAATGAACGTCAAGCGGCTGGAAGGGCATTGTTTAGGCATGACACGCACATTGATGGTGCTCATTATCACGCTAGGAAACTTGGTGGTCTTCACCCGGCATATGCTGCATTCAATCAGACCAATGGTAAAGAGAGGACTCTCACTCACGTTGAACTAGTTGAGGCCGCACTCCGGGATCTTTTTGATGCAGTAAGTTTAGACTTTCATACATTCTTTCTAAAATTTCTAAAATTATTCAGGTAACCATGCAAGACCGTATCGATGGCGGAATCTCTCTCCTCATTCGATGCCCAGGCTCTGAAGTGTCTTCAACAACCTTGCCTGAGGAACTTGCTCTCGACCTCTACATCACACCCCGTGAACTTCAAGAAACACCACAGCGCATCGGTGGAGACGTTGCTACCTTAGTACAGGCTTTTGCTGCAGAATTTGCGCTACCTCATCTTCAACACTTTTCCAAGTGTTGTGCTGTCGAAGGCATCAAACCACCTAAGCGCTGTAAGTCAATTGATTTTCGTATACTAATCTCACTGCTAACATAATTCTGAAGTTCCTGCTGCGCATATCAATACTCATGGTCCACAATACCTTCCTGCACCCATGGATGCTGCTGGAGCCCATATTCAGTGCTCTGCGCAATCACCGCAAGCTTTTTCCAATGACTTCGAAGTTCAAGCTCAGTCAAAGACTCCAACCAACATCCCGTCTGCGGCCATTCGTCAGGGAGTGGAATTGGCTATCAGCACTGCGAAAAAACCAACAGCACATTCCCAGCGGATTCGTCAACGTCGACTCGCAGATGTATTTGTCCCTGGAGACAACAATGCAGGCCCGCTTTTTTCGGGTCAGGAACTTAGCCACGATGAGCCAAGGTTTGGCCCTGCACTTATTAGCATTGGAGTAAATACCGATGTGGCACTTGATCGGCTCGGTTTGGGGGATGAAATTTTGCTTAGATTGCGAACCTTAATTGGAACTACCCGCAGTAGCCGATGGGAGGTAGTGTTTAGGTCGCCAAAGTGGAACCTTACTTATGAACAGGCTGCTATCCTGTCGAAGGCTCTGCTCGCTGACCTTCAAGTTCAACCCGAGGTTGTCAAGGTTGGTGTTTTTTTATACTATTTCAAACTGTTCAATCCGTGCTAACTCTTTTGGTGTTAGTATGATCCATCATATTCGGTACTGACACTCATTCTCAAGGTCCTTGGAATTCTAGTCTTTGTATGTGCGCTTTACTTCTTTGGATTAGTGTTCTTGTAGATCTTAGAATCCGTTTATGTCAGTCTGAATATGCCTGTCCGTCTACCCTGAACCTGCCGTCCACAGCCTCGAAATTTATTTATTTATTCATGGTGTGTTAAATATCTTAGCTTGGATGCAAACTAGTGCTTACGCCATTGCAGCAAACAATGGTCTCTCAGTCGTTTCATGTCGTCAAGAGCGTCTCTGCAGGTCGGCGCATTCAACTGCCACCTCGTACTCGTCCCAAGGTTGTTTTAAGCAAAGAAGCGCGAGCTGCGCTCAAACACAGCCGACAGGAGAAGTCTCGTCAATTCAGAGACGCCCTCGATGACGCCTGGAACCAGCTTGATGAGGCCACGAAGACCATTGCTGTGTCTCACCACAAAAGTGTACGCCGCGTGCAAAATGACTTGTATATTGGTCGTGGTTTGCTTCGCTCCAGGTGTTCTAAGCTGAACGCATGGAATGTGTTCTGCTGGAAGAAAAACCAAGAGACCGAGAACCGTAAGCTTGTTTGACTCGTTACACACACTTACTAACACATTTTTTGACAGGTAACCAGGGCCGAGGGGCACTTGAATCACTCGTCCATGAACATCGGGATGAATACCTTCGACTTTCGAAGGATGAGCAAGACAATATCCTTGCAGAGTATGCCGATTGGAAAATGACAAAGGTTACTGGCCTCCGTGTCTCAACAAAGTCCAAGATAAATGACATTACTCAAACTCTCAAAGCTGTCGAAAATGAGGTGCGTCCTTCATCCATTTGACTTTCAAGCTTACTGATACCTAGTACATACTACTGCTAGCTCAACAGCCTCAATTGTCGCATGGGTGCAGAGACCATTCTGTATACGACACGTGGCTCTACAGATCTCCCTCTGCGAGGCGTCGCCTTTGCCACTGAAGGTGTCCAACACTTCATGAATTCTGTCATGGGGATCGACAATCAAGATCTAGTCAGCAAGATGGAAGGTTTTGCAGTGCAAGGGATGAAAGGTTTGAATGTTCATTATTATTTTTTGCCTACTGACTTGTTACATTTAGGCGCTGCTACAAATCACAAACAACAAGTCTCCGAAATTCGCTCGAAAATTCGTGATATCATCAACACCAAACTACGTCAGTTTTGTCTAGTCTTCTGCAAGGTATTTGACTCATGTGCGTTGATAGAACTCGTCACTGGTGATCCCGATGCCAGGATGCAGTGGACACATTATTTTCGTAATGTTGTTCAGCGCTATCAAGTCGCCATTGAGGGCTGGCCGGACAACATTCCATTCGCTAACCTCAGTCAAGTCTCGAGTGCACGTCCCGACCTCGAGATGCTTTACTCAAAGTGGGAGTCAAAACAAATCAAATGGAAGGTACTAACTGATGAGGAGTTCGAGGAACTTTATTCAAAACGCCAGGGGCAGATTGACAGAGGCGAGATCATTGATCACCGTCGGCGAACTCATTCTGACAAAGGAAAGAAGCGCAAAGGGCTCGCAGCTGCCACGAACCCAAATCGCCGCAAAAAGTACAAGAGTTCTGAGACCATCGAGGACAATGATTGCACTGATGAAGAGCGCGAGCATGGGGATGAAGAACGAGACGAGCCTGTTGATGAGCCTGTTCGTCGATTTTCCACACCGGCAGCTGCTCGTGCTGCTAATCAACCCTCTACGTTTGATCTGGCTAATACCTCTACTAGTTTGCAGTTGCCAGGTTCTGATGTCCCTTCCCCTTCCAATGCTCCAGACGCATCAGATTTCAACTTTTATATTCCTAGAGACTCCGATGTATCGACTTTCCCTCAGTTTGACTCTGATGCTATGTTAGCAACCTTAGATAGGATGTTCGGTCCTGCACCTTAGATTTTCCTACTGCGTATCACTTGTTCAAGTTCAATGTTTTGTCTCACACTTCGTCATATTAACATATACAGATTATATTTGCATAACTACGATCAAGTTCATGAGGCTGAGGGAATCGTGCGGGAGCGCTTCGAAATCCATTCCATAGTCTACCATCAAGCAAGGGGCGTCAGAAGTAAATGTAAGACTCATTGAGCATGTCCGACCTATCAAACTGATAAGTGGTTTGAACGACTTCGTTTGAATTATGCACTCACATTCAAAATATGTATAATTCGGTGGTGATCACGCCAATGAGGATAAATGACTTTTGCCAAGCGCAATAGTAGGGCAGGTTGCAGTATCCACGTCGACACTGTAAATGTTGCAAACGTGGAGGGTGGTAATGGGGAGGAGAATGCTTGATGGGAGCGCGATAGTAGGGCAGGTTGCGGTATCCATGTCAGCACTGTAAACATCGCAGATGTAGAGGGTGGTAATGGGGAGGAGAATGCTTGATGGGAGGGCAATAGTAGGGCAGGTTGCGGTATCCACGTTGGCACTGTAAATGTTGCAAACATAGAGGGTGGTAATGGTGAGGAAAATGCTTCTTGATAGTCTGTAGACAGAGGCCTCTGAGCCTGAGAGGGACTGCGCCATGAGATGTTGTGTGTTGATGCTGTCCTGGTCGGCCTAAGACGGAAGCTGCCGGAATGACAGGAGATGCATAGAACCGAGAGGCCTCTGAACCTGAGACTCT